GGTCGATTTGCATTCATTGGTCCAGTGTCTGAATTTGCCACATCTACACAAGCCAGAAGGCAGAGGCCTTCTATATGAGACATTGTTATAATTTCCATGACTGCAATTCCTCATAGTATGTACTATTCTGCCATATTTGCATTGTCTAGGTTACTGGTGCCTTCTTGGCCCTCTGGGGATTGGCCTTCTTACTGTTCCATTACAGTGATAGCATGTCGCCTCTTGGTGCCTATTTTGACCTCTGGAAATTACTTCTCCCTCCCAAGCTCATGAGTCATTACCTTGAGAACATTTAACCAGTTGGTGTCTTTTTAGACCTTTTGAGATTGCCTCTCCTATCCAAGCTCCTGTCTCTTGTACATTATAGTTGAGATTAGATGTATACAAAACCCATTCTACCAGAGATGCTGATCTGATTTTTAAAGACAAAGTATTATTTTGCATATTGGGTTTGCATTTTCATATGCTAGAGAGTATATGATCATTTTTCTAGGTTCTGGATCTGCTACCTGTAACTCTACTGCCCTGGATAGTCTTTGCAAAAAGTAATGAAACTGTTCTGTAGGGTCCTGTTCTATCTTCATGCAGGTTTCTATGCTTTTTCCAGGTTCACAAATATTGTCCCAGGTATTTAATCCTGATATCCTGCATAAGGACAATATATGCTCATCATATCCAGCCTGTGGGTTAGCATAAAGACCCTTACCAAGAATCTTATCTAGGGGAGCTTCATAACCTTTCTTCATGCCTTGAAGTTCTAGGGCTTTTGCCTCCTCCCTCCACAGAGCTCTCCACCATATCTGAGATGAATTTTCAAGAACAGCTTGTAGTAGGCATTCACAATATGTGGATGTCACTCTAATGAAGGTTGTCCATGAATTTAATAATTCATTCATATAAGGGCTATGGAGACCACATGAGACAACTGACCCCGTGATTCCTTTAAGGTCTTTTAATTGTATGGGTTCCCATTGATATGCCATCTGACCATGTGGATTCTTTTTGGACTGTGATATTTCTGACATAGTTGCTGGGATCACTATTGGTGTATGCATAACAACCTTAGGAAAGTTTTCCTGATGTTTGAACAAAGTAGGTGCATCAGATTGGGAGTACTCTCTGCCATCTAAAGCGTGTAGCCTGGCAACCGTAGTCTCATGTAGAAATTAAATCTCATGAGTCGTGAGATTTTAAGAGTTTCATAGAATCAGTAAGTTTCCTTATTTCTTTATCTACATGTGCTTCTAAAACTTTATAACCTCATCCTTAGATAGTATCTGAATGGCATGTAAATTGCCTTCTAAATATCCAGTCCTAGACTCCAGCTTTTGGTCTGTGGCTGTAGATTCCTCAGACGTGAAGTGATCTACCCTTTGGTAGATCGCCAATCCTGTCTCAGTTTTTAGCTATTTTTAGATTCAAAGCATCAGACATGGAACAAAATTTGGTTTCTATTTGGCCATGAGTTTTTTCTACCTGTGTTAATAATGTAGTATGGCCAGACTTAGTATTCTCAAGTTCTTTACGTAAATGTTCCATATCTTCCATTTTAGAAAGCAAATTTTCCTGGCTGGCTTTTATATCCTGTATCCAATTTGCTAAGATGCCCTTTGCCCTGTGTCTCAATCCTCTGCTTAGAGATATCCTATGTAGTATAAAGCTGATTGCTAACACAGTATATAGGTACATCACTGGCAAGTCATAAGCCTCCTCTAACATTGAATTCACATAAGTAGCAAGAATATCCCCAATTTTCTGCATTGTTTATCTGTACCAGTTACTGTCCAGCTGCAGTGACTGTGTTTGACCAGCAGATGGTGCAGGTGGCTGGTTGTGATAGCTCAGTGTTCAGCTGTGGAGGTGAAGTCTATCTCCAGACTACCTGAAATGGGAACATGAGTACCTCTGGGAGCCATGATCCTAAAACATGTAGTTGGTTGAGACTCCATGGGAGACAAGGATGACATTGGAATGAACTCTCAGAAAAATATCTGAATGCTTTCTGGACTGAGTTAGAAGGAACGGAAGGGATTGGCTATTTTTATGAGAAAAGGCTTTGGAAAACCTGCAGGGCCATAGCCTTTTGTGACACCAAGCAGTATAGGTTCTGGGTACTGAGTAGTATCCAGAACTATTCAGCTGTGTGCTGTGCAGTGCCTATGGTGGCTGCTATGAGAAACACAGAAGGGGAGGAGCCTTGGGTAGAGAAACCTGTGGAGGACACAGAGCAGAAACCAAGCTTGCGCCGGGAAACTGACCTGGGAGGAATGAAACTCCCAGACAGCTTCCTAGCAGTTTGAGTGGATGGTGTCAGAAAAACTCTGTGGTGAGTGGTGCTCCCAGGCATATCTTGGCAAGGAGGGGTGGGAGGGAAAGGGGAAAGCTTTCACGGGTGCCGGTGCTGCAGGGGAATAAATCTCGCCAAATGTTACGACAGATCCATGGGTTTAGATTCAAAACTCCTGACCCCAGGTAATGCCAAATGCAATGTAGAGTCATGACTAGATTGATAACTTAATAGAGAAAATACTCACACAATGGAGCCAGTGTCCATGTTTACACTCGTTACCTGCTCGTCAGATCAGCCAGACGTTGGAGGGGAAAGCAGGCTGTGTGCATGCCTCTCTGATATTTAAACCCTTACTATGTCACCCTGACCATGCCAAAATGGGTGCGGTCAGCGGCACCTATGCCAGCCCCCAAGTGGGCATGGTCAGCATTTCCCCCTACAATAGGGTACTTAAGTCAATACTTGAAATTTTAAGTTACGTTGCTGTTCATATCAATCTGCATCTTGATGGTCTCAAAGCTATACAGAGTTCATGCACATATCTTTAAGCTTGTGGGTGTCCACTCTGTGATGAGAAATTGAGAAGTGTATCTCCACCAAATAACATGGGTAATGTTTTCTTTCAAAGCAAATCTCTCAGGTAAAATAAGAATGTGAATACCACTGAGAGTTCATTCCAATGTCATCCTTGTTTCCCATGGAGTCTCAACCAGCTACAAGTTTCAGGATCATGGCTTCCAGAGGTAATCATGTTCCCATTCTCCTGAGTTGTATTTCCACAAGTCTCTGTCACAATAATTTTCTTTTTAGAGACTATCAAGTTAAAGGCTCATATGCCTCAAAGGCAAAGCCATAATGGTTGAAGTTTGGCTATTTATGTTTAACCAAAAACAAAAAACCCTGTAAGATAAGAGTGAAACATTGTGGTGATCTAATTGGGAGTTCATAGAATATCATGAGAGATTCTACTTGGGAAAGATGTCAAGAACATTATCAGAGTATAAATTAATGTTGAGGAATTAACAAATACACAATCATATACTTAAGAGAAATTTTGTAGAAATTATGTAAAGAAGAAATTTAGGACGACATAAATAGGACTATGGTTTTTCTTTCTCCACCAAATATAGCAGCATAGTCCCCAAATATGTTGATTTATGACGAACACTCAAGAACCTTAAAAATACATCATTTAGTGACTGTGAAGAGCAACATTAGGAAGTTAGAAGATTATACTACTTCAGGTTGCCAAAATGTAGGGAGAGATGGTAACCTACAAACAGTGGAGTTTGTAATAACTCACTCCATCTTTCCTCTTAAATACATATATAGGTAAACAAGGAAATAAGTCAAAATTGAAAACCAACTATTCCATTCTTAGTCCTCCATCTAAAAATTTAATATAAACATGGGTATCAAATGTACTAATGGTGAGGGCTCCAAGCCAGTTGTATCTGACACAAACCTTGAGTCACCCTTAAGAAAATGCAAATCATCATGTAGATTTCTCATTGAGATATGAACTTCAGCAGTCCCTTGAGACCTCAAAAGGAAGAAGGAGATGCACTGTTAAAAAACCAGAGATTTCCATGTGGGGGGTGGGGGACACACAGTTCAGCAGTAAGGGCTTTCTATGAAAGCATGGGGACTTGGGTTCAGAGCAACAGCACCAAGGAAATATCTGTGTGTAGCCACGTTTATCTGTAACCTCAAAGCTGAGAGTAAAGGGAGACAATGGCAGAGCTTCTCCAGATGACATTTTAGCAGAAACTGTGGTCTCCATGTTCAGTGAGACACACTGCATCATAAAATAAGATGGGGAGTGATGGAGCACAACATCCTGACATCAACCAGTCTCTCCAGAAAATTTGCTGCAAAAATGTAAAAACATGAGTTAGGGTTCCAGTATCCACCCAAGTGAGAAGGTGGGTGTGACCACATGTGTGCCTATACTCCCTATGTCCTGGAGTCATGGAGAGAGGGGAATCACTAGGTCTTGGTGGTTTCCAGTTCATTATAATATCCACTGAAAGACCCTATCTCAAGAAAATAGGCAAAGGGTGATATAACAGGATGCCCAACCTCCTTCTCTAGCCTCCATATGTGTGCAAAGGTGTGTACCTGTGTATATATTTATTCATATATCACATATGTAAAGGACATGTCCATATATGCGTGAATGCACACATAAATAAGTAAAATAATTTCAACATAGAAATATTTTAACAAATATGCATTATCTAGTGTACTGCTGAAAACACATTAATGCAATATTTTTATGACTCAACTATGTGGTGAATCCTTGAAACAGAAAATGGATGCATTAGAAGTAGAACCATAATTTGTACTTGATATTTGTATTTGATATTTGGATACATGAAATATCTAAACATTGAATTCATTTATTAATGAAAATGGCTAAGTTAATTCAAGATTTTAAAGAACTTCTATAATAGAACAAGTTCTAAGATGGATGCTAATATTCCAGATTCCAAACAGCTTCTGGCAGCCATGAAAATTATGACACTTCAGAAAGACATCAAAATAACAAAGTCCAATCTTACCCCACTGAAAATTAGCAAAGTGCAATTCCACTTTTATTATTCATTGTCTTCTCAAAAACTTCTTTTCATAGAAATTTCCCTGGTAATGTATAAGCATTAATATTAGGGGAAGCACAACACAGAATACTTCATTTGTAAGGAGACAAGATATTTTAAAACTTTGGTTTAGACATGAACTAAGTTACTGTACTCAGTTTGCCTGTTACACACATGCACCCCTGTGAATGCATACACACACACACACACACACACACACACACACACACACACACACACACAATTTTTTTTATTCTAAGGGAAAATGGCATTTTTAATTCTCTCTATACATTAAGTAGCTACAATCTGAAATACTGAAAATTATTCAGTATTTAATGAGCATGAGACCAGTGTATGGATCACAGTTGTAGTAACTTAGATGTTCTTTTTCTACTTCTATGTTGGTTTGACACTAGTATAGCCATTAATGATATTGGTAAGGAGGAATAACAGCCACTGGAGAGATGGTTCATAATCCAAGATTCTTTCTAATTTTTAAGTCTTGAAGGAAACATTACAAAGAGGACATTCTGACCAAATCAAAGTTCAAATTGACTGTAACACTCATAATGTGGAGAAAATTCAGAGTTGGAAACACTGCAATGAATTTATAGTATTGTTGCACAGTTCACGTGAAACCTCGTGTTCAAGATTCAGTGCTAATAACATACTTCAAAAATATATTAAGATGGAAAGAAGGAAGTTGTGCATGGTTATGAGGGTAAAGGAGCTTTCCACCAAGCTTGAGGATCTGAGTTTAATCCATGGGAACAACATCATAGAAGAAAAGAGAAAAGTAATAAAACCACAGATTCAGTCTATATTATAATCTGTAGCCTAAGAAGTGGACTCCTGCATTTGTTTAGTTCAGCCACAGGTAGAAAATGGAAACTACCTTAACAGGTGTCCTGAAATTTGACATTGAAACTTACAAGGGTATCAGAAGACCATGCAATTTCAAACTTCTCAGAAACAACATCCTTTCCTCTTCTCTCTGTCAGTCGGCAGACTGCTGAGAGCAAATGTCAACTCAGGTTAGTCTGCATGATTTATACAGAAGTCTACATGTTGAGAGGCAAAGCATGAATTACACAGAAAAAATGAATCTGTTTCCTTAATATGTGGTCATACACTGTTCTTGCAAAGCCTTGACTCAGCACTTGTGCTCATTGGTAATGAAAAGACAGATAAAAACAATATTTTTGCCTTCACTCTGTCCCTATCACCTTTAGTAATCGCTGCTTTTTTGAGTGCCCTGTACCAGAGTTTTCAAAAACATCTGAATGTCTGTAGTCATTGCTCCAAACAACAGGTACCTTGAATCCAAAGTACATCAGGCTTCTTTAATAAACATCTTGCTGACAACAGACTACTACTAAACCAGTACAAACATTGGTGTCAGGCCACCACTAAATGCGAGCAAACATCTGTGATGGGAAAGACAAAACATGGAGCTGACGAATTCACCTTATGGATAAGAAATTAAACATCCTTTAATAAGGACTACTTTAGTACAATTTATGTATAGAATTGAGACAATGATCTACATTATACCTTGACCAAAACTGTTTAGTTTAAGAACCTCTGGTCCCTTCTCATGATTCTTGAACCTAAGCTCATGTACAAGCTCCAAAAACATTTTGAGGGGCATTGAATTCTTTTATTTATTTCCCCATGTGATTGAATTGGTTAAATCTACTTTCCCAAATTTGATCATCACTTTTAATTGATACATTAGAGTGGGTGGCCAAACCTAACTAGTTAGAACTCTGAGGAGCTGAGGTAACAGATTTCCATTAGAAACTTTCAATAAGATCTGAGATGGGAAGTGAAACCAGTGCAATACCCTGAGTAACATATAAGCCCCAACTACCCAAATACCAGATAACTTCTAGGATTCTGGGAGTTGTGGTTTAAAAACAATGAAAACAAAACCTTGTAACAATAACTCTCCACCAGCTGCCTGAGTTCTGCCACCATGTTAGGACCCCCAAATGACACACAGAAATTAATATTAGTTACAATGCTGCTGGACAATGACTAGGATTACTTATTTGCTAGCTCTGTCTTAAGTATCTACCATAACCATTAATCTATATATTTTATAAAGAATTATCTTAACAAGGACATCAGCAGCATGCACACTCTCTTCCAGGGATCACATGGCAACCACCTCTTTTTCCTACATTTCCCAGAATCCTCCTTCTCTCCTAGTCTGTCCTAACTTACTTCCCTATTGGCCAACAGTGCTTTATTTATTAACCAATAAGACAAACATATACACAGAAGGACTTCCCCCATCAAAGCCTTATGGCAAAATACAGCAGCCTGTGAGTGTTGTCTTTATAATCCCCTATAGCACATGTTCTGGGGCTTTTCACCTGTAAGTTACAGAGAGTCTTCCTGATCATAGCTCATTTTGGTCTGTGTTTAGTATTTAAATAAAGCTTACTTCAAATTTGGCCAAAAGTGGTAGAACTTTTTTTTGTTTGCTTGTGTTTTTCTCTCTGACAAATCTCAGGATTAACATAAGCTTTGAGTGGATTTTCAGGTATTAAATATTTCTATTAAATCCCCAATGAAAAATCTTATAAAATTACAGATCCTAAGAACAGAAACATTTGTATTTCTTGAATGCATCATTTCCCAATATGACTATAGGGACTTTAGTCAGCTACCATGTAGCAATGTATGTTTAAGGAGTATTGCAGCATTGATCTGAAAGACACAATGGATAGAAGGGCTTATTCTGAACCAGTTTGAGAATGCATTCCATTATGAGCGAGAGAACATGAAGCAAATGGCCACATTGTACTCTGTAATCATCAGAGATGAATATTGGTGCTCAATTATGTACCTTGCATTCTTCTCTTTATTCATTCTCTCACCAAAGTCACAGGAATGGTGATGCTCACATTCATAATATATATTCTTTCCCCAGTAGAACTTTGCCTTATGTTTCCTTCCTGATTCCAAATCCAGTCTAGAGGACATTGATGATTAATCATCATACCTAGTTCATTCCAGTCATAACTCCCATAAGTATGTTTTCGATTTCATGCAGTCATTTTGAAATAGATATGATATACAATACTTTTGTAAAAACTATATATGTGGTTTTAAAAAGGTTTAACATATTATGTGCTATTAAAGGTAATGACTGCACAATTCTCAGTGTATTTTCTCTAAGTGTAAAATTGGTAAAAATTTTACTAATTGTATCTTCCCAGTGATACTTTGTAAAAGAAAGTGGTGTCTTAATTTCTATCGCTACTTTTGCTTAAAAATATGTTCATCTTGGGGTTGGAGAGAAGACTCAGTGGTTAAATAGTACTTGCTGCTCTAGCAGAGGACCCAGGTTCTGACCCCAGAACCAGTGTCGTAGCTCACAAACCAGGAATTCCAGTTCTCAGGAGATCCAGTATCCTCTCTGCACTTCATGGTCACCATTATGGCATGTATGGCATACTTACAGATATGTAGGCAAAAAATGAAACACACAAAAAACAACACAAATCCGTGTAAAGTTTATTTAGACCAAACTAATATACTTCTATCTGTGTCTTCCTTCCTAACCCTTCATTTCCTTTCCCTTCCTTTGTTCATCACTCTTCTCTGCTCCCTTACTGCCTGCCCTTCTTCCTCTGCCTCTCTTTCATGTTTCATTTCTTTTCATTATTTCAGTTGAGTTTTAGTTGTCATTCTTGCTTTAGTTTAAATTTTCCCTCTGTTTGAATAGCTGTCATATTCTACTATAGCTGTGTTACTGAATCCCGAAGAGTTGCATTTTAATATATTATAGGACTTCCCTCATTGGCATAATTGGTAATATCTTTCTATTTCTTTGGTATGTACTTATGTTTTCCTAACATTTTAGTATCAATATCTGATATTTATTTATTTTAGTTAAACTTTATTTATTATCATAATAGTTACACATTTAATGACACATTTGTTAGTTTTTGAGATATTTCTATGCCTCACTGGCTTGTTTTTCTCTTGAATAAATTAGGATGTTCATAGTTTTGTTTGCTTAGTGTTTTATTTAGTTTTATGCGTCAGTCAGTTTACGATATTGTGGCTTGGCTAGTCTTTTTTATTTTTTTTTTGGTTTTTCGAGACAGGGTTTCTCTGTGGCTTTGGAGGCTGTCCTGGAACTAGCTCTTGTAGACTAGGCTGGTCTTGAACTCACAGAGATCTGCCTGCCTCTGCCTCCGAGTACTGGGATTAAAGGCGTGCGCCACCACTGCCCGGCCGACTTGGCTAGTCTAAAACCCAGTTTGGATGTTGCTGTGGCAGTACTTGCAAAGATTAATAACTGTTCACTTGACCTACAGCAGATCAGCACTAATATAATGCTGTTTCTTCTCAAACCCTTTAAGCACCTTAGGAGAAGGACTGAGTTTTTTCTAAAATTAAAACAATTCAGCCTCAACATTGAAACTTAAGGACACTGCCTGAGCTCTGAAGAAGCTTGAATTAATTTTTCTATATTTCTGTCCCAGTCTCCATCCCCTCCATCCCCAGCATGATATATGATGATAAGTTCTGTTTTCTACACAACAACAATTCATCTCCTTGAATATTTTTACTAGTTGCAAATCTAACGTTTTCTAACTTCTCCCAGTTGGAGTAGAAACAATGAGCTCTAGAGCACCATTTTAAACAAACACAAGCATAAATAAAATGAATCATCTTAAGCTTTCAATAGCACTGGGTACCTGCACACCTATTTTTAGTTGAAAGTATCATGTTGGAAACCATTTAATCTACTCAGTGTCATTGTTTAGCTTCATTGATTCTACCATTCTCAGGCCACTTACCAGTAGCCTACAGTCAGGTATATGAACAAACACAATGCAGGAAAAAGTGCTGAATAAACTTGGTAACTTAGAAAACACCTGTATCCTAAGAGTCCTACCAAGCTAATCACCTGTAGACCATCAGTCATAAACTAATGATCACACGTGTGAATGTGAGCTCTGTAGCTCACTGCCACAGGCCAGCATCATGAGCAGATATTTACAGCAGAGTTGTTGCAGGAAATTCAAATTTCAACAAAAGGAACGGAAAAGAAACCTATCATTGTGTAAGTGTCAGTACAAGATACTGCCGCTGCCTCCCTTAAGAGTCTAGCAACTTCATCTCCTAAACACTGTGGGAAAGACTGTGTCTTTCAGAGCCAAGTCTCGTTCAAGTATTCGCAGGATAGCAGGTGCACATGCCACCCACATGAACAGCCCATAAGAATTCGTGAAGCACAGGAGGAGGTTATCTTCCCAACCGTAATCTAGTAGAGCAAGCAGAAAATTGCCTATATACTTTTATTCCCCCACAAATGAGGTCAAATTAAAAGCTAAAGTTGTGACTGTATTCTCAGGTGTGGAAATAAAATTTAGGTGATTTTTGCAACTTTCTTTTTTAGTATTTTGCTTTAGACTTGAGTGAAAATGCTTATTTTGTGCCTTTAGTCTACTCTTTCAATTTTTTAACTTTAAATATTTTAAGATCATACACTCAAAGGTATTGAACACATATCTAATTGTTTTGTTTCCAAGAACAAATAGGTTCTTGATGAACATGAATTAGAGCTCAGTCAATTTATCTGTAAAGGGTGACTTGGATGACAAATGAGACCCAACCAGAACAGATTTGCTCGTTGTTCATTTGTAAGGAGGATGTCTGAGCTTTTTGTGAAAACATACAAACAGGCACACACAGACACACAGACACACACACACACAGACACACAGACACACACACACACACACACACACACACACACTCAAGCATGTAGTTATTGCATGTACACATATGCAGGGACACACACAAGCTTAATTTTTATCAATGGGATCCCAAGGAATTTGCCTTCACTCATATTTAACCAGAAGGCGAAAAGCAACCTTGGACGTTCATTAACTCTACTCAACTTATCAGAGCTGTTTTCTAACCTGGTGAAGCAGTGCTGGCTGCTCAGTCTAATAGATGCTGACAGGTTATTCCTTTGAAAAT